ATGGTGGGGGAGACCCCTGGCTGGTTCTCCACTTGGGCCTGAGGGGCCAGTCTGCATCGACCAAGCCTCACAGCGGGCTGGACCCTTAGACTTTGCCCCTGCCCCATCAAATCTACAAACACCCTTCCCAGCTCCACAACAACCAAGCCTCCTTACACCTCTGTGCAGAGGCCAGCCCCAGGGCACCCCCCCTCTGACCCAGGAGCTGCTAGGGGTGCTTGGCTCAGCAGGAGTTTGGGGGGGGGAGATTTGGAAATGGGGAGCATTGGGGTGGAAGCAGCAACATGGGGGCAGAGGAGGAGGGGGAAGTCTCAACCACTGTAAACTGGAGTGTGGGGATTGACCCCTTTCCTCACCATGACCGGGGATGGAGGTGTCCCATCTTCCAGCCCAGACTTGACAGCCCCCCCATGACAACAACCTGGACTTCTCTCATTCAGTCACCCCTCCCAACAGTATTTGGGGGCTCCCTTCCTATGGCTAAAATAGAGGGGGAAACCCTTCCCAGAGTGAAACAAGTGAATGCCTTCCCCCCCACCCTGGTGTATGGCTGAACTGTCCCCCCATTGGGGACTGTCAGTAGAGAAAGAGTTAATTCCATCCCTGCCAGAGGTACCTGGCCCCCTCCTTAAATCTCCTTGATTAAGTAACTCATATTAATAAACAAAAAGAAGAGGCTGAGAAGAGCTTCGCTCTCCCTGTGACAACCCCCCCCAATGCTCCAGGGGACACAGCCCCTCATCCTCCCATCCCTAATCTCCCCCTTAGATATACTGGGGTACCCCGAGCCAACCTCTGTTCCTTAGATATACTGGGGTCCCCCCCCATGCGCACCTCTGCCCCATTAAATATCCTGGGGTCCCCGTGCCCACCTGTGCCCCACTCCAGGCTGGCTGCGAGCCGGACTGTGTCTGCCCCAGGGCGGGGCTGGCCCCACTCACCATTTCTTGGTGCACTCCACCATCAGCTCCTGGTAACAGGCCACGAAGTGAAACTTGGAGGCGCGTTTGCCCACGCGCTGGAGTCTCTTCCACGCGGAGCTCATCGCGGCTCGTGGGGGGTCCCGCGGAGCAGCCCCCGGCCGAGCCGGGCCAGGCGCCTCTCAGGTCACGGCTGCCTCCGCGGCCCCGGCCGATGCCCCTCGATGCCCATAGTCCCAGACCCCGAGGCTGCCGGAAAACGACACCCGAGCGGCGGCGGCTTGGATGCGGGCACTGAGCCAAAGGGGCTTCCCGAAAAATCACGGGTGGGTTGATTCACCCCCCGGACACCCCGATCCCTTGGGGGGCGCTTGGCTCTCCCCCCGGACACCCCGATCCCTAAGGGGGCTGCGCTGCCCCCAGACACTCCGATCTCTGGGAGGCTGGGCTCCCCCCCGACACATGGGGGGGGGGGGGGGCTGGGCTCCCCCCGGACACCCGATTCCTGGAGGGATGGACTCTCCCCCCTCCCGTGGGGGGCTTGGGTGCCCCCGACACCCCAATCCCTGAGGGTGTTCTTGGCTCTGCCCCCCGGCCCGCACACCCCGATCTTGGCTCTCACCTCCGGTGTCTCCCCGGTCCCGCTCTCTGCCCCCGGGCCAGACGCCGGGCGGGTCAGTTCCAACTCGGTTCCCGTGTCCGAGCCCGACAGGGAGAGAAGGGAAACTCCGGCGACTGCGAGAGAACGAGGGGCCGAGGGAGCCGTGCCAGGCTGCCAGCGCCTGTCGGCCGGCAGTGTCTGCGCTTCCTGGATCCCGCACGCCCCTCCCCGGGACTCGGGGTGCCGGGGGTGAGCGCTGGGCCGGGCTGGGCCGAGCTCGCCCCGCGCAGGAAGTTCGCGCGGAGACGAAACTAGAAGCAGAAGGGGGCGAAAGGAGAAGTAGAGACAGGCGCAAGCCCGGCTCCCCCCAGCCAGGGAGCAGGGGTGGGGGGCAGGGCGGGGCTGGGGGTAAATGGGGCCCTTACTGGAAATGCGACCCACCAGGGTGGTCGCTTTAGCCCAGGCACGTCTGGGGGGTAAGGGAGAGCTCTGACATTGGGGGTGGGGGTATATGGGGAGAAGGGGAGGGGGCTAAATGGAGGGGATGGGGAAAGAGTGGGGGTAGTGAGGGGGGACGGGAAGAGTGGGGGGTTGATGGTGTGGGGGAGGTGCAGATGGGGGGCAGCCTGGGAGATGGACAGCAGCTGCCCCCCCAACAGTCAGGGATTCACAGTTGTGGGGCACAGGTCTTGTGGGGGTGGGAGAAGGGGTAAATAGATCTGAGGTTGGTTAAAAGAGTCCCACTGCACTCCTATGCCACCTTCTCTGGACACCCCCCCAATATGTGCCCCCCCATCATTACTTCACTGAGGAACTAGGTTATCTCAGTCTGGGGGGGGATGAGGCAGGGGAGGTGACACAGCATGAGTGGGGGGAGAGGATCACAACAGGGGGTCACAAGTGAGACTAGACTGGAGACAGACTCTCCCTCTCCCTGTAACTTTCCCAGCCCAACCCCCCTGCCCCTCCCCCACAGAACCCCACCCCCACCCCCCTGCTCACATAGCTGTCCGTGGGCTCAGCGGGTATAAATACCCAGTAAGCCGAGCTGGGTCCTGGCATCGGAGCCGCCTGCGCTCTGGGGTGGAAAATTCACCACCCCAAATTTAGAAACGGCCTGCCAGGCCCAGAGAGCAGCCAGTTCCCCCAGCCCCGGGCAGGGGCCTCCTGCCACACGCAGCCTCCTGCAAATGTGCATACACCAGCACAGGTGTTGGCACAAGGATCCCTGCACGGCAGGGTCACACACACACAAGCCACAAGCCCATAGGCCTCCCCCTGGCTCCCCTGCGGTTACTCACGCATGGCCACAGGTGGGTGCACAAGCCTGTGGCCACACGTCTGCCTGTCACTTGTGTGTGTGTCACGCGTCTCAGGGCATCTGGACAGCCAGGGGCGGTTGATGGTGAGCTCGTGTGCCCCATCCTGGACTCCTGCCACGCTCCAAACACAGATCTGGATATGGGATGAGCCCTTCCATGCCCCCCACCCCGCCCCAGGGGTTGACATGACCATTCCAAAGCGTGTGTGTGTGGAGCGGGGGGCAATGCCCCCATCAACCCTGTGTCCCCGCTGCCCCATACAAAACCAGCTGCCTCTGACTTAACGGCTGAATCACCAGTCCCCACCTCAAAGTTTACTCACCAGAATCTGCATCTGAACCAGGATGTCACATCTTGGTCCTCACTCTTGTCGCACAGGCCCCTGCTACCCCAGCCCTGGGCCTTCCCCCAAGCCCTGCTGCTGCCCCTCACTCCTGTCCGACAGCCCAACGGATGCACTCCCAAACCCACCCAGACCCTTTCCATTGTGGTTTCTCTTGCCAAGCACTGAGCGATCTGTGGGCTCCTGGGCTCCTCTAGCCATGCACACCCCACCTGGGAAGGAAGGGCGAGAGGGGATGGGCTGTCAGTTTGGGAAGAACTGGCAGCTCCTTCCCAGTCTGCCTCTACCCACCCCACCCTCCAATTCTGGTGTAGGGGGCACAAACCTGGGGGCTGACAGCAGAGCAGGGATGGGCAGCTGCAGAACACACTGCTGAACCCTAGGGGGGCACAGGGGGCAGGGCAGACGAACAGACTGGTGCACTGTGTGCTCCAAGGGCACTCAGCCATGGGAGTCCTGGAGCCTGCGGAGGTCTCTGGACTCATTTGGGGCAAAAAAAATAAGCAAACGAGGAGTAGAAAGCTGACCCCCAGCCCCACACTGTGCTCCTAGAGGTGAGACTAGAACCCAGGAGTCCTGGCTCCCAGTCCACCCACTAGACCCCATCATGCTCCCAGAGCTGTAGAGTTGGTATAATTTAGACCACTCAGCTGCCCTGCAGCTGGGAGAAGGGTTGGGGTAGGATGTATTGTCCACAGTCCAGCCAGGCCCAGGCCCTGCTGTGAGGCCCGGCTCCCTCCCTGGAGTGGGATGGGGAGGGGCTAAGGATAACAGGCCCACAGAATTGCCCCCCCTCCCCCCTGCAGGGGGCTTCCTGTCAGAGCTGCTGGGTGAGAATAGGAGGAAGTGGGGCTGGCAAGGCCACTGTGTGTGGGGATCCTGCTGACCTGAGCTGGACACGGCTTGGGCCTGAGGGTTCAGGGACCCCAGTGTCCCCTCAATCAGCCAGGGGGGGATGGACACCAAGATTGGCTGGGCCTGGAGGGATAGGATTCCTCCACCCCCCACATCCTGCTAATGGAACCATGAGCCCATCTCCCTGGAGGTCGAAATTCAGACCCATGGCCCCGCCTGCTGGCCATGAACAGTCCCTGCAAGAATTCTCTCCAAGACAGTTTTTGCCAGGGCTCAGCCTCTGGGCTTGGCAGTTCCTAGCCCCAGGACCTCTGGGCTTGACTGTTCCTAGCCCTGGCACCTCTGGGCTTGCCATGTCAGTTATGAAAGTAAAAAGATTGCTTGAGCCCTGGCATCTCTTTCATTACAAATTAAACAGTGCACAGAGCCTGCCAGGTTCAACACCCCTGCCCTTCTGTCCCCAAGCAGGTGGGGCAGGAGCAACCGCTGGGTTTTTTGGGGAGAACATGGTGTCACCAACCCCGAACATTCAAACACCACAAGATGAGCCCCAAAATCACACCATGACAAGGAAAGATGAAACCATGGTTTGGAGTCTGTCTCCCCATGTTCCTCCCACACTGCTGGGACCCCTCCCATTGGGCTGCTTGCCCTATGCCGCCCTCCTCCCCCACTGCCAGGACCCCTCCATGACCCCCCTTGCCCTGTGCTCCCCATGTCACTCTCCTCCCCAGCTGCTGAGATCGGTCCTCCATCCCCCTCCCCTCCTGCAGTCTTCAATGGGCCCAGCTGGCAATTGGAACGGGGACCAGGTAACTCTTGGTCCTGTCAGTTACCCTGTGGGGCCAGTGAGGGTGTGGGGACAAAACTAGAATTCCAGTGGGTCCGACACAAATGCTGTAGTTATTTTCCCAAGTCCTGACTCCCACTCCTAGGTACTGGAATAATACACGGCCGAGTCAGTTTCTGAGGATTTATTCCACAGCTGTGGTGGGGTTCGAGCCCCAACATGCTGTATATATTACATTTCACCTCTCTCACTTCTGGAAGGGTTTGGTTTTTTTTCCCCTATGTGTCAAATGTTTTTAATTTTTTTTTTTTAAATATCTTTAAAGTGGCCATTTTTGGCTCATGGCTGAGGCACTAAAAACTGCTAACATGATCCTACCCACAGCAATGCCAGAAAATGCACTGCCCCAGCCTCTCCCCACATGGGGCGCTATAGGGAGCGGGGCAGGTGTGCTGGCTGTAGATCCCAGATACTCCAGCCCTGGTCTCTCCCAGCAGGGGGGGCTGTAGTGAGCAGGGCAGAAGCAAGCGCTGGCTGCAGAGGGAGGGCCAGGCTACGCCAGCCCTGGTCTCTCCCAGCAGGGGATGCTGTAGGGCGCTCCCAGCTACACATTCTACTACGTCCAAAGGGGGTGAGGCTGTGGTGGCCGTGGGGCTCAGATGGTGATGTGGAAGGAGTCCTGCAGCCACTGGTCACGGGAGTTCTGGGGCTGAGGCAGGCTGAGCCGGCCCAGCAGTGGGGTCTCCTTGCGCACGTCGGGGCCCGGTGGCTCCACCTCAAACTCATCGTCCTCATCAGAGAAGCCGTTCTCAGCAGCGTAGGAGCCCTCGGAGTGCAGGGACGACGACATGTCCTGGAACAGCCCCTTGTACTCCTGGATCGACTCGTACAGCGACCACAGCTGGCACAGCAGGGACATGTCCAGCTGGCGCAGGCCCACCTGGGGGGATAGGGACCGGGAGGGTCTGTCACAGTTGGGTCTGTTCCTTCTCATGGCTCCCTGGTACCCCTCAGGCTCAGTCCCAACCCACAGCCTCACGGCTCAGCCAGTGACTCAGTCCACACCTCGGCTGCCTGCTATACCACCCCACCAACAGTGTGGCTGTCTCTGCTGTCCCCTGCTGGGAGGAATGAGACCTGCGCTGTGTGTGTGTTCTCATACCTATAGACACTCACAGCATGTGTGCACTATTTAATGAGTGTCAGGGCCTTACACACAGTTATCACCACACCTTTATTCCATGAACACAGTGCACATTCACAACAGCATGGCAGTGTGGGTGCACACGCGCTTTCATCTGGGTTTGTACAATGCCTAGCGCAATGGGGGCCTGCTCCATGATGAGGGCTCCTACATGCTAGTACTCTTCCTCTTCTTCCTTCTTGCTACTTCCTTATCCGGGGTTGGTGACCTTTACAGCCTTCTTCTTCCAAACCCCATGATCATACAACTGGCTGTTGTGCAAACTGATCTCTCTAAGTTCTGCTTATATCTGGTCCATGTCATAAGAACATAATGGCCATAAAGGGTCAGACCAATGGTCCATCTAGCCCAGTACCCTGTCTTCCGACAATGGCTGGTGACAGATGTTTCAGATGGAATGAACAAAACAGGGCAATTACAGAGTGATCCATCCCCTGTTGTCCAGTCCCAGCTTCTGGCTGTCCGAGGGTTAGGGACACCCAGAGTGAGGGGTTGCATCCCTGGCCATCTTGGCTAATATGTATATGATGTCCCAAGTCTTTGGCTTCCCCCTGGGCCGTCTTCTCTTCACAATCATTGTAAGGGCCATCCTACCAATATATCTTTGGGGGTCCCCACTGGACATGTCTATGCCAATGCAGCCTGGCCTCCCTCAACTTGTCTTCAATGGGGCAACCTCCATTAGGCCCCTCACAACCTCATTTTACTACTACTACTAATTACACAGAGATGAAGCTTTCAAGGCCAGAAGGGATCATTAGATCATCTGGTCTGACCTCCTGTATAGCACAGGCCAGAGAATATCCACCATATGTACAGAACACACTTTATACACAGCATGGACGTTCACACAGACACACGTGCATTTGAGCCCAGACCCAACACAATGCTACACACACAGGTACACAAACATGCACCTGTCTGCACCCCCCACGTGCTAGATATTTGCAATACACACACACCACAATACCCACATGCATGTGAGGCACATGCTGTTGTATATGCTCCCTCCACCTACACATACAGAGACACCAACACAGAGTTACACATGCACATGGACACAACCACAATCAGAGACACTTTGACCCCGGTGCCAATCACATTCAGTCATGCCAACTCCAAGCAGTTGAAAAATTGTAAGCCAGACACTCCCTGTCCCCGAATATATAATCATGGGTCCTATTTCTTTGCTTGCTGCCTTGGAGCCCTGCGGTGGGCGTAGGGGGACAGCTGTAGCTTAGCCACATTCTCCAGCTTTTCCCTAGGAAAGAAGAGCTAGACACTAGCTGGTGTTGTTTGTCAGGGTGCAACCGTGTCAGTTGGGGTGTGTGTGATTTTACACCCGTAGAGCTGTAGGAGGACAATACCTAGCGTGGCTGCAGTGATACTGGGATAAAGGTGCCTTAGCCTAGTTTTGTTTAGTCCCCTTCTCAATCAGGAATAGCTATCCTGGGATTAGCATCTTTATCCCATGATAGCTGCATCCACACTAGTAGGCATTGCTGTACTTTAGCCCAGAGCTGTTTGAGCAGGACAGCTTTGGGGTGTGGACAAGGGCTAATCAAAGAGAGCTGGCAACTCTCCCACAATTCCCTGCCCGGGGCTTCTAGAGCAACACCGAAAATGGTGAGACTCGCAGTGAGACATGGCGAAATCCCCCAGCCCCACAAAGGTCCCGAGCTCTGGGAGGCAAGCCTTCCTCCTCCCCCAAACATGTATACACACTGCCTGCTGCCCCAGGGACCCCAGCAGGCCCACCCCGGCTAAGGGGAGCATCGGAGGCCGAGGGAACCTCGTGGGAGGGCAGAGGGGCTGTGCCACATGGGAGAGGCTGTGCTATGGGGGGCAGGGGCGCAGTTACCATCTCCTTGCGCAGCATGGCCAGCGCCGAGTCCAGGTTGGCCGGTTTGCTCCGCAGCAGCTTCTCAGAGGCCACCCGTGACTTGCTCAGGTCGTCCTGGATCCGTGTCTTCTTGCTGTACACTTTCTCAATCTCACGCCACGAGCCACCACTGGAGTTGAGGATCCCGCTGAGGCCCTTGGGAAGTGGGGGGAGCCCTTCGATGGAGCAGACATTGCCCCCCAGGCAGTCCTGGGGTGGCTGGAGGCCGTTCATCGTGGACAGGAGACGGGGAAAGAAAGAAAGAGCTCCTAGGGAAATAAGCCCAGCCAATGGCAGAGGTGTGTCTGGGCCACGCTGGGTTATACAGGAATCTCCCTTTCTGTCCCCTTCCAAAGCCTGATTCTCCGGGGTCGGGGACAGGGCTCTTTTACTAGGCTCCCAAACAATGTCTGCGAGGGGTCAGCCAGAACCGAGCTAACTATGCCCCAGTAGGACCGTCCTGGCGGCCAGCAGCCCCTGCCCGGGGGCCGTCTGCCCTCGGGAACGTGCCTGTTCCCCTGCAGCTCTCTAACGGGCCGATTCCCCGCTCCGCCAGCCCGCCCCTGCAGCGCCGAGTGCAGACCAAGGCTGACCTAGCAGCTCAGGGCGGCCGGGGGCATGCTGGCCTCACCGCCCCACCCCGGGGGGCTAGGAAAGGGCCGGCCGGGTCATCCCGAGCCCCTGCTCAACACCACCCTCGGCTAACCCAGGATCTCAGGGCAGCTCATCTTCGAGCCTCCTGCCCCTGCGGCGCAGGCGCCTCCCGCGGCCATCCGCGCTCCTCCGCTTCCCGGCTCGCTACTTTTCCATCGGGTCTCTTCCTGCTGCCTTTGTTCCGCGGGCTCCCGGCCCCGGCCCCCGCCTGTGCGGGGCCGCGCGGCCAGGGGTGGATGGAGGGAGAGAGAAAGACTTCTCAGGCGGAGGGGTGCGGACGCCGGCCAGCCACACTCCCGGCGGCGCGGGGAGGCCGGAATCCGGATCCCCACCCAGGCCCGGAGACGGGCGGGCAGAGGGGGCGTGGCAGCCTGACAACAGCTGGCGGGCCCCCTAATCCGTGCCCCCGAGCCGGCTCTCCCGGCGCCGGTCTCCCTTTGTTTGCTCTGCCTGCCGCTACCACACCCCACCTGGTCCTTCCAGGCCCCCCTTCCCAAAAGGGGGCAGGCTGCCGCGCGCTTAAAGGGGCAACAGCGGCTGGGGCACAGGGAGACCCTTTCCTGAGGGCAAACAGGCCCCTGGCTCCTCCGGGGGTTGGGGTGGGGCGGGGGACAGGACTATGCGATGAGATTCCCCCCCTGCCTCCAACAACAGGCTCTTTCCAGGGCTGCGGTGGGGCCCATCGTCAGGGAAGGCTGGCCCTAGGATGCTAATCCTCTGGCCAGACGCCTGGGGTGGGGAAAGCCGCTTAGCTGGAGAAAAACAACGGCCCCAGCTAGCAGCAGGGCTGGGGGGAGGGGACAGATCGGACATGTCCCAAACCCAAAAGCTGATTCCTCCCCGGCTCAGACGCTTGGGCCCATCCAGCCTGCTACCCCCGCCCCTCCCCCCCATCCAACTGATAGCCAGGACTCCTGGGTTCCATTCCTAGCTCTGGAAGGGAACTCCAGGCTGAGAGCAGGGGCAGTGATGGGGGTCAGAACTCCTGGGTTCTGTCCCTGGCTCTGGCACTGACCTGCAGTGTGACCTTGGTCAAGGCCCTTTGCCCCTTGGTCCGTTTCCCATTTCACATAGCAATATAATCCTTACTTTGGCTGCTTTGACTGTAACCTCTTGGGGAGCAGGATTGTCTCTCACTGTACAGTGCCCAGCCCAAAGGGGTGCCCAATCTCAGCCTGGACAGCACCCAGCCCGATGGGGGCCCCCCGCTCTCAGTGGTGGTCTGGGCAGCACCTGGCCTGAAGTGGGGCCCCCCCACTCTCAGCCAGACTCTCGGGAGTGCTCGGACCAATGCTCCCCTCTCCCCCAGTCAGGGTCTGGGCAGCACTTGGCCACACCTGAGTGGCATTGCGACCCTGTGCACCAGGTGGCAACAGCTGGAGCAGAGCAGGGAGCTGAGTCCAGCTATGGTAAGGGAGCCTTCGCTGCAGCGCAGGGAGGCCACACATCTGCCTTTGAACTGGGCAGTCCCCTTTTTGGGTGGTTTGTCCCCCATCTGGTACTGAGACAAAACTGGACATGGTTGTATTCGGTATCGGATGGGGGATGCCCTTCTGAACAGTGCATCACTCTGCCCCTGACCTTGCACATGTGGTGTGTGTGAGGTCTGGCTGATGGGGTGGGGGTCCCACGCCATTCCAGGTATTCTGCAGGGTGAGCTCACTCTCCAACCGCCCCCCCACACACACACACTGGGCTGGAATTAGGGTTGTGGTGCTGGGAAGAGGGTGTATATATGTAACGGTGACAATTCAACAAAAACAATTCAGAAGGAGGCTGATGACTTGCCTTAATAACCAGTCTGGGAATCTGCACTAAGGAATCACAAAGAGCAGAGAAAAAGCTCATTGAACGGTGTGTTCCCCTTTTCACGATCAGATCTCAGTCAATTTCAATGCCCACATCTCAGGCCACAGGTCAAGGTGTATGGCCGGGGGTTACACACTGGGCATGACAATGGCCTGACCTGACCTGAAATCCCTTCTGCCTGGTACTGAGATGCAGCAGACTCTAGGGTGGGGGCTGTTCTATACAGGGGTCGCTTGCCTGGTGCTGAGGTGTGGCTGACTCTAGAATGGGGCAGAAAGGATGTTTACACAGGGGTCTCTCTCCCATTACTGAGGTGCGGCCACCTCACTCATTGCTTAAAACCACCAACAGGAAGCAAAGGAGGATTTCAAGGCAAGGAAGAATTTAGGGAATTGGGGGTGGATGCGACTGTTGGTGAAACTCCAGTGGGCTATTTAATGATCACTGACGAAGGGGAGCGTGCCCTACCGAGGCCCCTCCCGACTCCCTGCAGCAAAGCATCCCCTAGCACCATGCTTGGGCATTTGGACCAGTACTGGCTACAGATGGAGAGTGCCCCCTACTGAACCCCCATAGCAATCCCCTAGTGGTGAGCTGGGGCATTGGAGCCAGGTACTGTCTGGGCTGCAGTCAGGAATCCTCTCCTCTCCCCCAGCATCATGAGTTCCATTGGGCAGTAGGCAGGGCATGACAGGCAGGAAGCCCAGCCCAGTGGGATCCTGGCTGCATAGCAGTTGTCTCAATATTACAATAGGCCCGGCAGATGCCTGCTCCATGGCCCCTGCCACAGCTGCCAGGGTGAGACCAAGAGACAATGGAACAAAGGAGAACTGGGATGACCCCATCTGCTCCTCCTGCCTCAGATCAGACCCATGGCCCATCCAGCATAGAATCCCCCCTCTCCAGGTCAGATACAGCCTGGCATCTCTGTGGATCTGATGCTTTGGGTCACCCTGACCCCAAATTATCAGATTGAGTCTTGCACAAGATTTTGGAGTTTTTATGGGATGCTACAGACAAAAAACAGGATCTTTGTCCAGCCGAAGGGGGCTGGCAAAACAGAGTCTCTGGGGGGCGTCCTCACCCCCTCTCGGCCTGGCTCTGCCAGGTGTAGTCAGCATTGAGGGGCCTGGCCACTGCCCCTGAGGAGGCCGGGGTTGGCCTGGGCGACTCACTGGGGGGTCAGCTCCTTGAGGCATTTCAAGGACTCAGCACAGGAGCGGATGAGGCTGCACAGCTGGAGGCTGAGCTCGATGGAGGCACTGTGCTGGAGCTCCTGGCTGGCCCAGCCCAGCTTCTGGAGGATGGCATCCTCTGCAGCAGCCAGGGGGCTAGCAGGCAGGGCAGGTGTCGGGGCAGGCCGGGCCTGCGGTATGGCAGCCGCAGTGGCGGCAGCTCGTAGTCCCGAGGCTGCCCCCTCACAGTGCTCTGGGCGCGGCACGTGGGGCTGCTGGTGGGCGGCTGGGAGGTACCCAAGGGGCGCAGCCTCCTCTGAGGTGGAGGCCAGCTGGTGCTCCCGGACCTGGGACAGGGCCGCCTGGGCGTTCAGCGCTGGAAAGAGAGAGAGGACAGATGGGGTCAGAGCTGCAGGTCCTAGAGCTGCCTCCCGGGTCAGCAGTGTGCAACACGGGCCGCAGCCACAGCTAAACGGAGGGAGGGCAGGCGATGGCCACTGCCTTGGGAGCCAGGACGCCTGGGTTCTATTCCCAGCACTGCCACTGATCTTGGGCAAGTCCCTTCCCCTCTCGGTGCCTGTTTCTGCTCAGACTGTGAGCTCTTCGGGGCAGGGACCTTCTCTCACTGTGGGTCTGTGCAGTGCCCGGCCTGATGGAGCCCGGATGCCAGATAGATTCCAGGCAGTGCCCAGCACTAGATCAGAGCTGGTGCCCCTAGAGGGGAAAGGCCCCATGTCCCATTCCGTGGCTCCTGAGCCAGCCAGTCCCCCCATTCCCATGCCACTCGAACACCTCCCTGGCAGACAGCACAACGCTGGGAAGGACCGTACCCGGGTTATCCTTGTCGATGTCAGAGTTGAGCTCCTGGCAGGCCACACAGTAAAGTTTCCTCTGCTTGTCTTGGAGCAAGATGGTCTGTAAGGGAGAGACAGCCCGGTGCGGGACTTCAGGGCAGAGCAATGAAAGAGGGCGTTGTCCTAGCATGGTGAGGGCAGAGACACCAGAGCTGCTCCTCAGCTCTAACTCAAGGGCAGACTAGAACCACCCCCAGGCCTCTGATGAGGAAGAGGGAGCAAAAGGAAGGGCGTGAGGCCAAGAATTGTCTCCCAGAGGCTGGGAGCCCCGTTCTATGGGAGGGACTAGACTGCATGGCCCCAGGGTACAGCAGCTTCCCCTACAGCAGGGGTGGGCAAACATTTTGGCCCGAGGGGCACATCGGGGTGCAAAACTGTATGGAGGGCCAGGTAGGGAAGGCTGTGCCTCCGCAAACAGCCTGGCCCTCACCCCCTATCCGCCCCCTCCTACTTCCCGCCCCCCTCAGAACTCCCCCCCGCTCTTTGTCCCCTGACCGCCCCCTCCCCGATCACCCCTGGGACCCCACCCCCATCTAACCCCCCCGTTCCCCATCCCCTGCCCCCCCCCAGAACCTCTGCCCTGTCCAACCACCCCTGTTCCCCGTCCCCTGACCACCCCCCCTCCCCGAACCTCTGTCCCATCCAACCACCCCTGCTCCCTGACTGTCCCCTGGGTCTCCCTGCCCCATATCCAACCCCCTGGACCCCTTACCATGGCGCTCAGAGCAGCATGTCTGGCAGCCGCGCCTCCTGGCCAGAACCAGACATGCTGCCACGCTGCCCTGCATGAGTGTGCAGCCCGGCTGCCCAGAGCGCTGCCCGCGTGGCAGGGGGAACAGCAGAGGAGGGGCCAGGGGCTAGCCTCCCTGGCCAGGAGCTCAGGGGCCGGGCAGGACAGTCCCGCGGGCCGTAGTTTGCCCACCTCTGCCCTACAGCCTATTCTGCTCTGGGGTGGGGGACGGGAAGACACACATACACAATGTAGTATGATGGGTGGAATAGTCCACATGGGAAGGGGAGGATCCCATGCTGTGGGGGTGGGGGGAACCCTCCCTCTCACCGCTGTGTGATAGAAGCTCCCACTCCAAAACCACTGGGCACTGAGGTCCATTCAGCTTAGTATGCCTCCCTTTCCCCTCAGACAGACCCATGGGCCCACTTAGCCTAGTATCCCATCCTTCCCACCTCCGAGATCAGACCAATGGGCCCATCCAGACCAGTATCCCCCTCTGGATCAGACCTGCAGGCCCATCCATATGGCAGGGCTGGCCCGAGCCTGCTCCCTGCTGGATCCCAGCACACTCGGGCATCAGCCCAGGCTAGAAGAGATGGAGCTGGCCTAGGACACTCCCTGCAGAGCTAGTGATGGATAGCTGGGGGCCCGCACACTGCCCTCTTCTCCTGTCTGGAGCACAGTGCCCTCTATTGGGCTTCCCGCGCAGGCCCCAGGTCGTACCCCACACTCTTCGCAGCACTCCCCCAGCATGCGGTACCCCTTGAGCAGGTAGTCGCCCATCACTCTGCTGATCTTATCCTGCCGCTCCCTCCGTGCCTGGATCACCTTCAGCTCTGCCTCTGAAGGTGGCTCCCAGTTCCCATCATCGTTGCCTGAGGGGGGAAATGGGAAGTTGGCAAAGCCATTGCACAGCGTCCTCGCAAGCTGTCAGAGCAGGGACACCATACCTGACACTGAGATGCAGCCACCTTTGGGATAGGGTCCAGCAGATGTTTATACAGGAATCCCTCACCCAGCACCATGCCTATCTGCAGTGATGCCAGCTCTGCCCATCCAGAAGGGACGGTGCCACTGCGCCCATGAGAGGCTAAGCTGGGCTGAAGCAGTTAAATAGGGTCGGTGTCGCCCCCTCCCCTCTGCTGCCAGATGCCACCAGCTCTACCACTGCTTGGGAAGACAGCTCCCACCAGAACCAGCCCCCTGACAGCACACTCCTTCCCCGCAGCCCCGACTAGAGCCCTTATGTCCCAAGCTCCCCAACCCCGTCCTCACCTCTGGCCGGGCTGCCCCTTCCTCTGCTTCCCCAGCCCCCACTCCTGCTCCCAGCATAAGGCTCAGCTCCCCATCCTGCCCCCCCAGATCCATCCCCTGCCCCTCCCACTTCTTCCCCAACCCCATCCTCTGCCCCTCCCTCTCCTGCCCCATCCCCGCCCCTCCTCCTCCTCCTCCTGCCCAGGGTAGCCCTTGCCCCATCCCCAGCCTCTCCTGCCCCGCCCCCAGGCGGTACCTGCCGCGTTCAGGGCCATGCTGCTCGCTCGGGGCGCCCTTGCTGCTGCGCCGCTTCCGCCCCAGCCCCTTCCCGCTCTGGCCGGAAGCGCCTCCATGTGGGGCTCCCGGACTGCGTACCGCGACGGAAGTGACGTTGTGCGAAGCGGGGGACAGGGACCACCGGCCCGGAAGCAAGGCGCCGCTCTACCCTCTCCGGCCGGAGGGACCCGCCTCCTGGCTCCCCCCCGCGCGTGACCGGCCCTACCTGAGCCGGCCTCGCTCCTCCCCTCCCAGCCCTGGCGGCCTGCAGGCCGCGGGAAATGCCAGCTCCAGGGACACCCCCACCCCGGGGCCCGCTGCCCTCACAAGCCAACGGGAGCCAGGACGCCTGGGTTCCAGCCCCAGGATCCAGCCTGCCGCCCCCCGCGGCTGGGGCCAGGTCACTGCTCCCCATAACGGCACGTCCAGGGGCCAACCTCACAGCGCCGCGGCTCACCTGGCACCAGGGGCCACCCGCCCTGCTCGAGCTGGCCCCGCTCCCCGCCAGTGCTGGTATCAGCCAGTTTCTAATAACTGCTGGGACAAGTGCTCATTTAGTGAGAACGAACTGAAACAAGACAAGGGACCCGAAGAAAAACAAGTCTTTATTCGCCCCTACACCGATGCTAGGAGCCTGGGTAATAAACAAGAAGAACTGCAGTTTATTGAGCAATGAGTAATAATTTGCCCCAGTAGGTATTTCTGAAACCTGCTGGGATGATTTGCGTGATGGGAATGTTAAAATTCACTGGATGCAACCTATTTAGGAAGGGTCAGGTGGATGACAGGGGAGCAGCACTCTCAAAAATGGCATGATCTGCTCCTGAGTCACTGACAGCATGGAAGCAAGAAACCATGAATGCCCACGGATCAATATCCTAAGTGATGAAAGTACAAGGTGGGCCACTACTTGGCATCTTCCACAGACCACCATATTGCACCTGCAAATTTTGCCATTTCACTGCTCACCCTCCACTTCCTGATCATGAAATATATCAAACACTGGCCTGGTGTGGAACCCGGTAGACTCTGCTCTGAATCTTTCACCACAATCAAAGCAGACCATGTATTTAACACTACCCATTGCTTCCTGTCTCCTAGCAAGTTTCTGGTAGAGGGCAAAAGTTTCTCTCTCTCCCTCCTCCCCTCTTCTTTCTAGCTTCCTTGCTCTTGGGACGGACTCTGCTAGTGCTTTTGTGAGTTCAAATGAATGACAGGAGCTGATTCTCCTTCACTGACATTTAGTTTGGAGACATGCTCCATGAAGTCTAATACACAAGCCCAGTGTGACTTTCCTGGTCAGTCAGCTCTTCCTACCACCAGTGTTGAGGGCTTTGATGATTGTGTTTCTTCAAACAGTTTAGTGAGATTCCCTGGAGCTTTTTTAAATAGGCACAAAATTTATCATCATCCCATAGAGCAGCTGTTTATAAGGAAGTGCTCCCAGTCCCTGGTAGCACCGTATCTTTATTACCACAGAAGAGCAGGTATCTCTCAGCATCCTCAGTGCAGAGGGCTGAGGAAAAGGAACATAGCATGTCAGCAGTGTCCTTATCCTCCTTGACTGCTCCCACAGCAGTTTAGGTGGTTCATAGGGAGAACCTCCAGGCACTGCTACAGAGTCACTGTCATGCCTTCACAATGCTGCTTGGTAACAAAAGTGTAACAAAGAAAACCAGCGAGGTTGACAGTGTACTCCCCCACTGCAGCAGGACTAGATACCTCTCCCACCTTGCCTGCCCCTTGCTTCCCACCACACAAGCTGGGCCTGAGGTTTTCAAAGCCACCAGCGGCATTTAGGCACCACATTCCCATTCTAAGGCCATTTTATGAGTCTACTTCCACTTCCTGCATAGCACCCGCCTAGTATCTCCTGCAGGGGTCCTTGCATTCAGGTCATCCTTTGGGCTGAGCTATAGTGCTGCTTCTCGAGAGACAACCCATCTGGACTAAAAGACTCCAGGCAATGGAGAATCTTCCCTCCCCTTCTGCAGGTCAATTCTTCCACTGGGGGAATCCCCTCCCTGGGAAATACTTGCCACACAAATTAACTCTGGCAATAAGGGGCATCAGCTCCCAGCCCTGCTGGGCATTTGTCTGGGAGATTCCCATGCCCTTGACTGTCAGAAATTTCTCCCTGTAGGGACTGACAGACTGGGATCAAATCACCCCAATTAGCCTTGCCCTCACTGAGTTAAATGGGTTGAGCTTCTCAAGGCAGGTTTCCGCACCCTCCAAACATCCTCATGGCTCTGTACTGAGCCCTTTCCAATTTTTCCAATCCCTGGCCTGGATATGCTGTCCCACTGACAGTCTCACCTATGCCATACAGAGAGGTAACACCACTCCCTCCTGGGCACCCAAATCCCTTTGGCAGCTTTGAAACTCTTCTACACAAAAGAGGTGATGGCCCTGCTCAAGAGCCAGGCTGGAGGTTGACTTGTACCATGGCTTGAGATTTATGTTCAACAGACAGAGTGAGGCTCTAGGAGGGCAGGGCAGTTTGCGCTGGTTCTGCCTACTCAATGGGGTGGCTCAGAGCTAAGCAAAGCTGTTGCACTGAAATGTTCTGACCCATTTTACTGGAACCCCCCACCATGGCAGTGGTGCAACACGAGGTTTTGGGCTAGCTGTCTGCTATGCTTCCCAGTGTTCCCACTGCGGGACGGGCCAGAAGCTGCTTGTCCTGCTAAAGTTCAACCCCAAGCCCACCTTGCAGGATGCCTTTAGGAAACAGCGATGGCCTCTGGGCAGAGCTCCTCCAAAACAGGGGGCAGATGTGATCACCCCCCCAAGCCAGACTGGAAGAGCACAGCCAAAGACTGTCACCTGTACCTTTGCAACATGCATCTTGGGGACTAGACTGAGAAGGGGATGGTTCTGGAGAGATCGTTCAGCGATAACATAGCCCTTGATGAGCTAAGCATCACTCCCTAGAAGTGTTACAATGCAGAAATGGGGGTTTGTTCATCACCAGAGGAAGCTAGAGTGCTGGCAAGAGATACCAGAGAACTGGGCAAGAGACGGGAACCAGGATTGTTGGAAGCAGCACAGACTGGGTTAAAGGACAGAATAGGACAAGGTTGTACAGCCCAAGGCCAGAAGACACTATGGTGATCCTGTCTGACCTACCACATAGCACAGAACCTCACCCCTGACTTCTGCATCCAGCCCAGCTATCAGTGTGCTCCTAAACTAGCAGCCTTCTATGAAGTAGCCACAGGCTGGAGATGCTGCCAGGGGAAGGTGATGTTAGTAGCACCTCATCTGGAGGCGTGTGGCTGGCTGGATTTTCTGGGAGCACCACCCCCATCCTTGGGAATCCTTTGGCCTTTACTTGCGAGTGTCTTATTTGAGTGCGAACGAAGCTCAACCCTGGGAAAAGGGGAGGAAATGCGACTGCTAGGCAGATGAGCGCAGGGGACTGGACTAGATGACCTCTTAAGGTCCTTTCCAATCTTATGATTCTATGTGGGGTGCTGCAAATAGAAGGGCCCAGATCCAGCTTTTAAGACCCTGGTTCACAAGAGCCTCCCTCTGTACAGCTGGGCACGTGTGGGAATGCCATTGCAGATAACAGGAGAGAAGGGACCGTACCCATCCCCCAGCCTGTCTCCCTGTATCATATGGCCTGGAGGTCCACCTGCAACCATTTCTGCCCCTAGCCCAGATCTGGTGCTGGAGCCAGAGCACAGCCTTTAGAGACATTTGGCCTGGATGTAGGGTCCCCAAGGGATGGAGCATTCCTCCCATCATCCCAGGGGGAGCTGCCTCCTTGGGGAATCCCCCATCCTAACAAACATTTGCCCTTCATTGCTAGTCTGAATTGACCCAGGGTGGCACCTGCCTGCTGAATCTCACTCGGCCTCTATGAGATTCGAGTCCTCCACTCTCTGGAATCTCCTCCCAGCAAAGCAGGGACCCTCATCCTCAACTCAGCACCTTGGCACAGGTGGGAGCTAGATTCACAAATGGCTGGGATCACACAAGGGCTTGGCTGCTCTGACCTGCAGGTTACTGTCACCGTGTTTACACTGGGCCTAAAAACTGGCTTCTAAACCAATTTAGATCAAACCAGGGCAATTTAAACAAGACCAAAAGGCTGTGCAGGAGTCAGTGTTGAGTTGTTGGATGCTTGATAGGCTGGCTAGAGTTGGGCCAGGTGGCTGTGAACCCTATTGCAGCATAGTCTGATGTGTGATACATTGTGGGTGCTAAGTGATGTGGCCCTTAAAGCAGCAGTAGGGTCTGCAACATTTAATAGGTTCCCGGCTCTGCCCAGGACACCTGGCTATGGTTCCCAATTCCATCCTAGACACCTGGCTATGAGGCTGGGAGTGGGTTCCCAGTTCCATCCAGGGCAGGGTCCTGTGATGTTTAATAAATTCTCACCCCATTCAAGTGATCTGGCTAGGAGGCTGGCGATGATGGTGTGGCAGGTCCCGCGCTCCAAGCACCGCCATACTCTAAGGCTGTGCCTGCCCCTCCTCCACCTCCTTGTCAGACCCACCATCCTGAGGACCCTCCCCTCCCTCCTTGAGGGGCCAGCAGGGCTGCCAGCCATGCAGGTGGGTGCTCTGGTGCTTGATGAAGTTGGAGCCATGGCTGAAGCTCTTGCCACAGTGCTGGCAGTGGTAGGGGCGCTCACCCGTGTGGGTGCGGCGGTGCTGGGCCAGGTGGGCGGCACGGGAGAAGGCCTTGCCACAGTCGGGGCACTGGTAGGGACGCTCGCCTGTGTGCACGCGGTGGTGCTGCAGAAGGTCAGAGCTCAGCACGAAGCTGCGCCCGCAGTCGGTGCAGCGGTAGGGGCGCTCGCCCGTATGGATGCGCTGGTGACGGATCAGGTTGGAGCTGAGGCTGAAGGCCTTGCCGCACTGCTGGCACCGGTAGGGGCGCTCGCCGCGGTGCGTGCGTTGGTGCTGCAGCAGGTTGGAGCCATGGCAGAAGCTCTTGCCGCACTGGGCGCAGCGGTAGGGGCGCTCCCCGGTGTGGGTACGCTGGTGCTGCACCAGGTGGGAGCTGCGGGAGAAGGCCTTGCCACAGTCGGTGCAGCGGAAAGGCTTCTCGCCTGTGTGGGTGCGGCGGTGTGTGGCCAGGTCGGAGCTGAGCCCGAAGCGCTTGCCACAGTCGGTGCAGAGGTAGGGGCGCTCGCCAGTGTGGGTGCGCTGGTGTCGTGCCAGGTGGGAGCTGCGGGAGAAGGCCTTGCCGCAGGCCGGGCACTTGTAGGGGCGCTCGCCAGTGTGGGTGCGCTGGTGCCGGATCAGGTAGGAGCTCTCGCTGAAGCTCTTGCCGCAGTCGCCGCAGTGGAAGGGGCGCTCGCCGGTGTGGATGCGTTGGTGCTGCGCCAGGTTGGAGCGGCGGCTGAAGGCCTTGCCGCAGGCCGGGCAGCAGTAGGGGCGCTCGCCGGTGTGCGTGCGCTGGTGCCGGTGCAGGTTGGAGCTCTGGTTGAAGCTCTTGCCGCACTCGGTGCACTCGTATGGCTTCTCGTCCAGCCGCAGCAGCCGGCGGGCCAGCCCGGGGTTCAGCTCGTAGCTGCGCCCCCCCTCGATGTAGCGGCACGGCTTCACGCCCATCTGCGTCACCCGGTGCACGATGATGTCACCGAGCTCCTCTAGCCCCTGCTCCAGGTCACCAGAGTCATCCGGCGCCTGTGCCCCAACGCCTGGGCTCTGGTCAGCCATGTCCCATGGGGAGCCAGGCGAGACATCGCCCTTGGAGACCCCTGGCCACATCTTGTGGGATGGCGCCATCTCAGGGCCTTCCTGGTCAGAATCCTCCTCCTCCGAGAGACAGGCGGCACTGTCGTCTGCCGGAAGAGAGCAGAATGCAGGTGAGCATTGCTCTGGGTATGGGAGGAAGGGTACGAGGGTGGGCAACAGGGCACAGGTAACGCATGGTCAGAGATCAGGGCCCTGTCGCACTGCGCAGCCTGCCCCCGCCCAAGATCGTGGGAGCCTGTCGCACCATGTGCGGCAGAGGCACAGACACACACCTGACCGACATCGGGGGCCTGTCATGTTGGGTGCTGCACAGACACACAGGGAGAGAAAGACCTTGGCCCAAAGAGCTCACCATCTAAATAGACAGAAGGGTGTGAGGAGAAACAGAGGCATCAGGAGGGAAAGGGAATCGCCCGAGATCAAAGCTGGGGATAGAACCCAGGAGTCCTGGCTCCCACCCCAGTGCCCTGCCCACTAGACTCCATTCCCTCTTTTTTAAGCTTTAAATTATGCTTCACTCACTGCCAGCTTCCAAAAGGACTGACCCAGTCACTCACCTGCTCCAGCCTCCATTTCCTCTGAGCCCTGGGGATCCGGGACACTGGACTCCTCCCCTGGTTCCATCTGTGTCTGGGTCAGGGGCCGTTAGCCCTGTCTGGAGCAAGCAAAGAGGTGAGATGAGATTCTTTCAGGGACCATCTGCATGGGCTGAGCCCCAGCTCCAGAGGGGGCATTGGGGAAACCCCCTGGAGATGTATTAGTGAGGAAAACACCTGCTGCCCCCTACTGGATATTAAGGGATTTGCAAGTCTATCACATGGCCTCTCTTAAAGGCCCAACTCCTGGAGGCAGGGGATTCAGTGAAAGTTGCAACTTTTGTTCTTAAAAGCTGAACCCCACACAGATCATTTTTAAGATGCTCATGATTTCTAAGCCAGCCTCATGATTTTTTTTTTAGTACTTGGGGATGCTGTTTGTTCACTGGAAACAAACCATAAATGCACAACACCAGGTGTTACACATCTTCTTGCAAATCACCTTCAAAACACTGATGAACAGCCAGCTCTCGCACAGTGCTTGTGACCCATGATCTCAAAGCTGTTTACAAAGCAGGTCGCTATTGTCCCCATTTTACAGAGGAGAAACTGGGATACAGAGAGGGGAAGGTCACCCAGCAAGTGAGCTGGGAATAAAATCCAGGAGTCTTGGCTCCTCCTAGCCCCTCCTCCACTATAACTGACTAGACCCCGCTCCTCTCCCAGAGCTGGGATAGAACTCAGGAGTCCTGGCTCCTAACCCCCACTACTCTAACCTACTAGACTTCACTCCCCAACCAGAGCAAGGACAGAAACCAGGAATCCTGGCTCCCAGCCCCCCACCCCTGCTCTATCCACCAGATCCCACTCCTTTCCCAGAGCCATGGATGGAACTCAGGAGTCCTATCTCCCAGTCTCTACTGCTCTAACCTCCTAGGTCCCACTCTCCTTCCAGAGTTGGGGACAGAACCCAGGAATACCCATCGTTCCAGGTATTCTAGTCCAGGAACTAGGTGAGGGCACTCTGAAAACACAAGGAAGGAAGCCTGGGGAAAAAATCAGCCCAGACCACTCAGGGTCTTAGACACTATGGCCAAAATCCCTGATAGAAAATCCCACCGAATGAGGGGAAATTAGGCCCCCAAACCTCTCTTGGTCCCTAGTGCCCTGGAGCATCAGCTTTCAAGTGGTAGATGGCAAATATCAGGCGAGAAGTTGCTTCTACCCACCTTATAGTAGATTGTTGTCTCCCAGGACACCATGCCCCACCCTAAGCAGCTGCACTGTAGACATGAGTATGTGTGTGGGTATGTGTGCATGACAGAAAAGCTTTAGAAGGCTTTGATCATTGTCAGTGAGACAGAGGAGATTAGAACCCAAACACTAACTGCCTATTGAAATTAGTCATAAGGGCAGACTGGTGCAGTGGGCAGGCCACTGGACTGGAACTCCTAGGTTCTAGCCTAGCTTGGGGAGAAGAGTGGGATCTAATGGTTAGAGAAGGGGGGAGACTGGGAGTCAGGACTCCTGGGTTCTATCTCAGCTCTGCGACTGACTTTGGGAAAGTCCCTTCCCTTCTCGATGCCCGTTTTCCTTCCCACCTCTTGTCCATTTAAATGATAGGCCCTGGGGAAAACTGAAAAATTGATCCTCCAGAACCTGCTTTGTGACACACAGCAAGAGACAATCCCTGCCCCAAAGAGCTCACAGTAAATCCATGCTTCTCGCAGCCCCCAGGTGGGCTACGAAAGGCCAATCAGGAGTCCTGAGGCATTGCAAATGTTATTACAATCTCTCTCCCTCCACACTCCCTCCCCCATATACCTTGACCCTTCAAGGTCAAATATTTTCCATCAACCTCTCAAAATAAACACTGCATTATATCTCTACAGTTAGCATTGTTGTCAGTGATAGATGATTTTACTATAAATTTGATAGCAAAGCTGAAGGGGAAAAAAAAAAAAATCACAAAAAATGTTGATTTCAATTAAGAGGTGACTGACCTGGGAAGGTTGAGAAACAGCAGTGTGTGTATACGAAAGGTGGGGTCGGAAACAAAGGCACCAAGAGGGGAAGGGACTTGACCAAGGTCAGTGGCAGATCCAGGAATAGAAACCAGTCGTTCTGACTTTCAGCCACTCCCTTTCCCCTAACCACTAGACTCCACTCCTCTCCCTCAGCTGAGAAAGCAACCCAGGAATGCTGGCTCCCAACCCCCCTTGCTAGAGCCACTAGACCCACTCGTTTCCCAGAGCTGGGAATGGAGCCCAGCAGTCCGGATTCCCAGACCACTGCCCTTTCCACTGGCCTGTGCTGCCCTTCATTAGATCTTTTATCATGCCAGCCCCCTCCCCATGTAATCAGTCCCTGTAAGTACCCACTGTACGAGAGGACCTGTGCTCAAGGGGGTGGTTCGGCCCAACTCCTGATTTGCGGCAGGGTCCCTCACCCAGCTGCCCACGCCATCTCGGTGTCAATGACCCTGCATGATGCACAACATCCCAATAACTCCCTTTCCAGAGACCCCATAGCATTAAATTGCCCTTGCACCCTCAGCACGACAGGAATTGACAAGGTGGGTGAGGTAATAGCTTTTATTGGACCAATTACTATTGGTGAGAAAGACAAGCTTAAGGTCAGACCTGAAGAAGAGCTATGTGAAAGCTTCTCTCTCCAAGTTGGTTCAATAAAAAGATATTACCTCACCCACCCGTCTCTCTAATATCCTGGGACCGACATGGTTACAACAACACTGCACACAGGAATTAGCTTGACTATCCCCACAGACCTGGGCACACATATAACCAGCTCCCAAAGGACTTTACAGGCCATACCTCCTTTTCTGTTTGGAACATTGGAGGTAACTGTACACACATGGCACCCACTGAAATGCAGCTGCCTTAGGGGTGAGGACTGTTTATACAGGATCCCTCATTCGGAGCAGTGATACAGCCATGGCTAGGGTGCGGCACAGGGGGCATTTACGAGATCCCTCATCCAAAGCTGAGATGCAGCCACCTCTAGAGTGAGACACACAGGCTGGTCATACAGGGATCCCTTGCCTGGCACTAAGATACAACTGCCTCTGGGATGGGGCAGTTCATACAAAACTCCCTCACCCAGGGCTGAGATACACACGTCACTGGGGTAAGGCACGGGGTCTGTCGTATACAGGCATCCCTCATCTGGTACTAAGATGCAGCCACGTCTGGGGTGGGGCACAAAGGCTGTTCACACACGTATCCCTCACCACAATGCTGAGATGTGGTAAGACCTAATTGGTGTTCACAGCCAAGGGCAGATGGCAGCCACTGGGCAGGGCAGAGATGCCCCAGCACAGAGTGAGTGAGTGAGGGTGGGTGGGATCTATTCCGGGTCCTGTGGCCCGCAGCCAGGACAGGGCTATCTCTTTGTCCCCGGCCCCTCTGGGGCTGCCCCTGCTGGTCACTCACCTGGCTCTCCACAGGACACGGGAGGAGGATGCAGGCAGGGGTGGTGGGGGTCTTGCAGCAGCAGCAGCTACCTACGAAGGGAGAGCGCAGCCTGACCCCTTTGTGTGGCTTCCCCTGCACGGCACCCTGGGAAATATCCAGGCTCTCGCAAGTCGCAAAGCACTCTGGGGAAGGTAGTTCCTATGGGGAGGGGACGCCAGAGGTGATGGTTGCTTGGCTTCAAGAAAGGCGGTTGCTAGGGGTGGAGTCCTTTCCCGGAGGCAGTTGCTATGGGGTGGGGGAGACGTGATTTCTATTGCGGGGGGTGCCTGCTGCAGGAATGGCAGTTTCTAGTGGTGGGGGAGGCACCGAGGGTGGTGTCTATGTTGGGAGGGGTTTGGGGCACAGCTCCAGAGGGGTTTGCGGCACAGCTTCTGTATTTTGGGGGAAGTACTTTCTATTGGGGGCAGCTCTGGGAGAAGCGGTTTCAATGTTGGAGCAGAGCTCCCCCCTGCAGGGTCAGCTCCTCTATGGCTGTGCCTAAAGCCCTGCCACTGCATCATGGCCCCATCCCCACTTGGCTTGTTGGTGACAGAGATCCCTCAGCATTTGTCCCAGCAGCCAGGGTGTCTGCATGAATAGAGGAGCTGACCCCACTGCACTCTGTCCCACAGAGACCCCTTCTGGGGCAGGACTGCTAATTAACACCCACCCTGAGATGCACAGAGCAGTTTCCCCTGCTCGGAGCAATTAGCTCAGGCTCCCTACAGTCTCAGCCAGAGTCACTGCATTGTTTACACTGCTCCAAGCAATCAGCTCAGGTTTTCTGCAGATGCAGCCAGTGTCCCTGGAGTGATTAGACTAAAAGCAATTCCTTCTCTCAGGTAATTGTCTCAGGATCTCTACAGACTCAGGCCATGTCTAAACTAGTGATCTTACAGTAGCACAGCTGTACTGATGCAGCTATGCTGCCGTACGATCTCCCATGTAGCTGCTCTGTGCCTACAGGAGAGCTCTCCTGTCGACAGACAACCCCCAACAAGCGGCAGTAGCTATGTCAGCGCTGACATAGCACTGTCCACAGCAGCACTTCTGTCAGTGTAACTTTTCACACCCCCGAGTGACATAAGTTATAGCAACAGAAGTGCTAGGGTAGACGTAGCCTCAGGCAAGTGTCACGACATTGGTTACAACTGAGCTTTCCTCCACTTGGAGTGATTGGATGAGGCTCGCTGCAGGCGAGGCAGGCAAGCAACCAGGTATTGCTGCATCAGATTACATGTTCAAGCTTTTCTCCCTAACCCCAAGGGCTGGAAATGAACTTTTTATTTGAAATTAATAGAGCCCTATAAATCCACAGATATCTGCAGACCCTTTTTGTAGACTGGATGCGGATAAAATTTTTCTATCCAAACAGGGCTCTATATATGGAAGTTGAGACTCTGGTATAGTCATAAATCCAGACACTGGTGCCAGAACCTGGGCATGGTCATATACTGCCTTAATCCAGCCCTGCTGAGTACAGCCTGAGTTCCCAGTGCTGCTACAAACCTCAGCGCATTATGGGTAATTTTGCACCATCATCTGGGAGCCAAATGCACTCAATTCCCACAACCCTGCATGGGGCAGTATGAACTGGCTGATAGCTTCTAGCTGGGATGACCTCTTGGCACCAGAGGGCAAGATAGTGGCACGATGGGCATTGTGAGACAGCACTAGGGGAAAGTCCACCACATCTGTGGTATGACGCTGCCCTTTGTTGAACTCAGACTTGAGTCCACCTAAACCAAGGTTGACCCTTGGTTGCTGCAACTCATACCTCAATCTGCACACGACTGTAGGTTGTGTCTGGAAGGAGGGTGGGTGCAATCAGTTAATATGCTAGACATGAGCACAGGCTGTTGCCCTCCTAGCTACCTGGTAGCTCCTCAGCTTCCCTGCTGCAGAGCTCAAATTGGAAGTTGAGAAATTCCTGCTCTCCCATAAAGAGCTGTGCGTCATCTCCAGTGCACTGCCCGAGGGGAGCCCGTCTCCATCCCTAACCCAGGCTGTAGCGACCATGGTAGCCAGCAGGATCTTTGCACATTTCATAGAGTGGGAGGAAGCAGGATTTGAAGACGCAGGAGAGACATGACAGGCATCTCTGATCCAGGATGGGAAAGTCATGGGGGAGAGCACAGGGCCCTCCTGAAATTACTTCCCCAGCCATCCTATGCATCTAGGGGATTAAACACTCAGTTCCCACTTGAACTAGTGAATGGTGCAGAGCCCATAACTTTAACTCTAAGTGCTGGCACAGAATCTGAGCTCCACAATCTTCTTCTGCCTAGGGCAGCCCTCCCGTATAATCTGACCCCTTTACTCTGCATCTCATTCCCATGGGTATTGCCACAATGGAGCAGACCTGTGGGCCTATCTAGCCCAATATCCCATCTCTGTGAGCTGCTTCAGAGGAAAGTGCATGAATCCCCAGAGGAGGCAGCACTGGGATAATTAGTGACCTTCTGACCCCCTTAGCTAAGGGTCAGCTCATACTCTGAAACAGGCAGGCTTCGAGCTATTCACAAGGTTCTTTATTTTTCATTGTTTAATTTTAGTTATTCCCAATACCCCTATAAGCATTTGATCCCTTTTTGGAGTCTACTCAGCTCTCGCTCTCAGTGACATCTTGTGGCAACAAGTTTCCCACATTAAGTGTGCGGAGAGAGTACGTGAAGAAGTATTTCCTTTTGCCACTCTTCAGTTTCCCTACAACCCTTGTTCTTGTATCATGAAATGAGCTGAACTGCAGCTCCCACCTACCTTCTCCAGTACATCGTCTTTCACCAAGTCCCAGCCTGTCTCCTCTCTAAAGATGAGCAACCGCTGTCTTTCCAATCTCTCTTAAGAAGATATTTCCCCCTCCATTCTTGTCCCTCATCTCTAAAGCCAGTTGGATTCATACAGTTTAAGGCCAGAAGGGACCACTAGATCCTCAAATCTATAACAGGCCATACAATCTCAGGCAGCAATTCCTGGATCAGGCACCTCCCTTCTACCTGAACTATAGCATATATTTTAGAAAGGCATTCACTCTTAAGGCTTAACGTATGAAATGATCAGAACCAAACACAGAATTTCCGAAGTGGGCAGCCCCCTGCTTTGGGAAGGATGGTCCAGTGGTTCAGGTTCTTTGAAATAAATATATTCTCACTAGGTGAGAGCTCTTTGGGGCAGGGACTGTCTCTCACTATGGCTGTTGGAGACTCCAGGAGTTACTCTAGTAGAATACCACTCCCTCAAGCCAGCTCCTGCATGACTGGATTGTGCCCCTGCACGGATTGAAGCAAAGAGCTTGGCCCTGAAGCATAAACCTCTACTGCTCAAGCTGAACAATGAGGTTGCAGCAGACAAATGCTCTGGGCCCTGCTGGGGGTAGGAGATGAACCCATCAGGGGCTAAGGTTTTTTTCCTGGAAGAAAGAACAGCCAGGGCCCTCTGTTGGAAATTTTTATTTTGCTGGAAAAGCCGTGGTCAAAACTCCACAACAGATTCTAACAGATAAGCTTCTATGCAAGCACTAGCTGCTTTGGAAACACCTCAGCCACAGTCTAGTCTCAGAGGAGGTGGGTTTGAACTGGGATTCAGATCAACTCCCAAGACAAAAACAACAAATAAATAAAGAGGAGACTTGGGATTCTCCATCCACAACGCTGAGAAGAGAAAGGAAATAATGACGTGAACTCTATGAGTAAGTTACCTGGAAGACAGTGAATTCCCACCCCAACCCATGCAGAACCTGAGCCCAGAAAGGGCCAATGTGGAGTTAGGGGAAGAAAGGAACTATGCTTGCAAGTGTGGGGAAGTGCTCAAGGACTGAAAAATTAAGAAAAAAAGATACAGTGGGTCACAACTTTACTGAAACACAAAAACCTCCATTAAAAATAAACACACTAGAGGCAGCCAATACCCGTCGCAGGCAGCGGGATGGTGGGGGAAGTAGGACAAACTTTCCCGTGTAATGGGAGCCCGAGGGTCCGCCCGAGAATACGCTACCTGAAAGAAAGCACAATACAGTTTCAAAGGCTTATGTCAGAAGTAGCCACGGTGGCAAAAAGCCCAGAGATCTCATGCCCACCCCAAGCCCTCGCACTGTCCACACACAGAACCCATGCTGATTTAAAGTTGGCTTTAAACTGGTGCAAAGCCCTGGGTGGACGCTCCTATTCTGAAGAACTTTAAACCAGTCCATAACCAATTTACACTGAAATGAAATAAGCCTGGTTTAAAGCCCACCCACATGTCTTTCTTGCACTGGTTTCTGTCAACCAGTTTAAAAATCATGCCTTAAGTGAAAATTCGTGCAACTTTCAAGTGTAGGTAATGCTAAATCTCCCTAGGAGTTAGCTCAACTTTACCGCAAGGTAGCTCCAAAACGAAAGGAGCACCTTGCCTAACACGATACATGAAGTGTGGTCCAGTTGATAGGAAACTAGATTGAGAATAAGGAGACCAGTGATCTATTCCTGTCTCTGGGTGAGGAGTGGTGGCTGGAGCAAGAAGGAGCCTGCAGAACAACTGATTCTATTCCTGGATCTGTCATTGAGCTGCTGAGACCCCTGGTCAAGTCTTCTCTCCTCTCTGCACCTGTGGTCCCCCTCCCAACCTGGGTCTATTTAGACTGCAAGCTCTTCAGGGCAGGGACTATCTTTGTCTGCAGAGTACAGTGGGACTCTGATCTTAATTGGGGACCCTATGTGCTACCATAACACTAGGCTGACTGGGCCAAACTGCTAACACTTTAGCTGTATAGACACTGACGAATCTCCACAACAGCCCCTGGGTGGTAAGATGACAATGGTGAAGTGACTCACAGCTTGTCTACACAGGGACACTCTGGAAAGTGAAGATGAATTAAGTAACGGTGTGAATTTTAAGTGGATTAAACTGCATTAAGCCCCTGTGTGAATGCTCTTATTCAGAATTAAAATGGCCTTACTTTGGTTAGCATAATTCACTTCCAAAGTGAATTAAACTAAACTGAACGGAGGCCACTGTAGTCCTGAATAAGAATGTCCACACAAGGATTTAATGCAGTTTAACTAATCCACTTTAAAAGCTAAGTCACAATTTTCTCACGGGCATGGCTACACTTGCAGATGTAGAGCGCTTTGAGTTAAACCAGCCTTCGTAAAGCGCAGTAGGGAAAGCGCTGCAGTCTGTCCACACTGACAGCTTCAAGCACATTGGCGTGGCCACATTTGCTGCACTTGCAGCAGCACTGGGAGCGGTGCATTATGGGCAGCTATCCCAGCATGCAAGTGGCTGCAATGTGCTTTTCAAATAGGGATGGGTGGGGTGGAGTGTGACTGGGAGTGTGTATGTGGGGGGAGACAGAGTGGGTTTTTGGGGGGCTGAGAGCATGTAAACATGTGGTCTTGTAAGTTCAGACAGCACCAGACCCCCCTCTCCCACCCCTGTCTCTCTCTCATACAGCATTCCACAGTAATGGTTGCTTTGTTTCATAGGAGATAAGCAGCCTGCTGTCAGAACATGAACTTTCAACGGGCATTTCTGCATTCCTACAGCTGGTTCCAAACAATGACAAGAGTGGCCACTTGACTTAAGGGGATTATGGGACCTTTCTGGAGGCTGATCAGAGCGCAGTAAAGCAACACCTCGTTCACACTGGCGCCGCAGCACTCCAGTGGGGGTGCAGCAAAGTCATTCCACTCGCCGAGGTGGAGTACCAGCAGTGCTGTAGCCGCGGAGTCAGAGCGCTCTTTGTGCCTTGCCAGCGTGGATGGGTAGTGAGCTAGTGCGCCTGGGGCTCCTTTACTGCACTGTAACTCACAAGTGTAGCCAAGCCCCAAGTATCCCCGTGTAGACAAACCCTTAGTTTGCTGTAGCTTAACCCTCACTACAGCCAACTAAGGACACTTCAACTCTGAATGACAGTGTCCACATAGGGGTTTGATGTGCTTTAACTTCACACCTTGAGTTAATTAGTCTTAACTCCCCAAAGTGTTCCCCTGTAGACTAGACCTCACAGTTAGAGAGAAAATTAGATCTCAGGCCTAACTGCCTCCCAGTGCTGCACTTCTTTCTCTAGTGTAGACCACACTGCTGCTGCCACAGGTCTCACCCGCAGAAGCCAATGGAGCTACATCTGCTTCTGACTGTGCAGCACTTACTGCAAATATTCAGCAGTGGGTCCAAGTTAGCTCAAGATGACTGAAGTCCCTGGAGTTTAATTTTAATGCTAAGTGAAGTCCGTTCTGTGCTCTCACTCTGGTTCCCATTCAGCAAAGCCTGTGCTTACATCCATCACCATTCAGCAAAGCACATGCTTAAGTTCCATTGACTCAAAGTATGAGCTCAGTTTTAAGCATGTGGTTCACCGTCTGGCTGAACTAGGGCCACTACCTTCTATCACATATATTCTGCTGACAACAGGAGCCAATGGCATTTTGGGAGGCCCTTTGCTCTTGCAATGACTTGGCAGCCAGAGTGCTGAGTAAGTTACAGTAAGAGGTTATCAAACAGAATGAACGAGTTAAAGTTTTAGCTAATCACTACTTTGGGGTTTCGTTGCCTCCAAGTGTCACTCCCCACACCGGCTACCACAATCTTGGACAATGCCCAGTTTTGCCCATCCAACACGTACTGACAGGTTATAGAGCTGGTGCATTTACAAACTGCCATTCACAGCCAAATTCCCACCACTGCCCCTGTGGAATACTTTATGGGCTTTTACAAGACAGTGGTGAAGCTGGCATAAGAGCTCATGTCAGAGGCAAAATGCATTTGCCGATTCAGCCACTCCACTGGTTGAACACAGTTGTCCACATTAATGTGCGCTGTTTTGCTCTGCTGTACTCAAGATTGCTTCAAGCTAAAACAACACAGCACAAACTATCTGCTCTGATCACTGTTAAAACCTGAGGGAACTGAATCAGAGGTATGTTTTTAGAAGGATTTTGATATTCCAGTGCAGCATGTGCATTCTAGTAGTCTCGCAAACTTGAAAGCCCGTGCATGATGATGATTTATAAATGTAAAGCCAGACAGGACCATTAGTATATATGTGCTGCCACTCCCATATAACACAGGTGAGAGAATGCCACTCAGCCCAATATTTTGTATTTGAATAAAGCACTTTCCAGAAAGACAGTCAGGCTGGACTGGAGGCTTCATGAGATGGAAAATGCACCACTTCCCCTGGGAGTTTATTCCAATGGTTAATCAACCTCACTGTGGAAAATTTGTGCCTCATTTCTAATTTGAGTTTGTCTGGCTTTAACTCTCAGCCATTGGTTCTTGTTCTGTCTCTGCTAGATGTAAAAGCCCGTTAGTAGCCAGGATTTTCTCCACGTGAAAACACTTATACATTGTAATCAAGTCACCTGTTGAGCAGGACCTGGTTTGGGGAGACATAAGGAATGGGACTAGGATGACAGAAAAGGCAGTAGAAAGCTCCCAGAATTTTCTTTCCATTTGCGATTTCTGCCACTGCCCCCAAATGTAGGGGTAAAGAATGAAGATTAAAAGAAGCCAGGAGCACGGGAGGGGCAGGGGAGACAGGAGAAGATGAGCAGGGATTGGGAAACAGACCCCTAAAACCTGTAACCCTAAGCCAGGAGTTTGGAGCAGGACAACAGGTCAGTCCAGAGCGACTGATTTATGAAGACATGGTCAGGCTGGACAGCACAGCTATGGACCTGTAGGAAGGAGAACAACCACCAGCGTGTCCATAGCATTAGAAGGGCCCTGGACAGCACCAAGTGTCAGCAGAGTATATGAAGGCTGTGGTGGCAATGGGGGCGAGAGATGGTTCAGAGTTACACAAAGGGGAATTAGTCAGGAGTAATAGGATGGAGTTAAAGGAAATAGCAGGAGAAAACTGAGGGATAACATCCCAAGAGAAGCAGGAATCCAGGTGTTTGAGTTGGAACTGGACAAGACAAAAACCCTGAGAACACTCCTGAGTTACAGTTGGTGCCAGGGTGAACTCACTTCATGTTTTAAAGATTTGCTTTGCAACCACAAGGCCTAACAACTTAAACAAACAGATTCTCACACAATCACGAATGCTGGGGCTTTAACACCAACTATTGTGAGACTTGTGATACAGTTGAGAGACTCAGCAATACAGAGGTTCCTGCCCATGTGAAATGTACTTTTAAGATTAAAGCTGATAGACTTTTTAAAACTTGGAGTTTACTCTTGTTGCATTTCACTGAAACAATGAAAACAGATTGGTTAACTAGACTTTGTTTAGTCAGTATCTATTGGCTCTCAGATGCTGCAAACAACATAGGGAAAGATTTCTTTCATAAATCTTACTAACAAACATCTCTACTGACCCAAGCATTTTAGAGGTTTTCATGCCACAAGGGACCTCCTGTAGTCAGGCCTGTACAACAGGCCAGGGAATTTCATCCTATCATGCCCGGATCCTGTTCAATAAATTGCAGCTGAGCTGAAGTGTGGCTTTTAGAAAGATTTATAACCTTGATTTAAAGATTTCAAGCAATGGAGAATTGCAAAGGCTTGTTTTAAAATTAAGACTTGTTGGGGCCAAATCTGACTTGACACTGTATTTTTAAATGTTGCTCAGGGACAGAAAAAGAAAGTCTATTTTATAAGGCCCTTAAACAGGAAGATCAAAATCTCTGCCAGTTTTAGAGTATGCTTTTAGAGCAGCATTTGCATGGCAGAAATAAGTGTGCAAAAATAATTCTATCCTCTTCTCAAGAATAAATTGCTGGGTGATTTCAAGGCCTATAAAAAAAAGGCACATAGACAACACTTCAGATCCAGCATGGAGATATGGATCTTGTCAGCTTTCCAACAGGGGAAACAGTGACATATTCCTTACTGACCTAGAGCCATTATAGTAAGTGACTGATAAACATAGCTTTAAATCTGGAGTTGCTTTAAAGTCCAGATTTAGACCCTGTACTAAAATAGCAAAGCAAGGTTGACACTGACCCCATACCAACTGTCTGAGTGCATACTGCCTATCACAAATCATCTTCACTCAAAAACATGATGAATGAGTTAGGATAGGACAAAAAAGAGCTGGGCCCACTCAACACTGGTGGTAAAGATTATTCTAAAAGACTCCATGCCCGTCCCATGTGAATGCACACTTGTTCTGGCTGCTTCACGATGTAGGTAGTTCACTGAAGTGCAAGTACTCCATTAATGTGGTAAAGGTGTCAGGCTTTTACCAGCAACACTAACAATATCCTTTCACTCGACTAAAGTTGGTAGATCACAGAAAGATGCTAGTAGAAACCTTGGTAAATCTTACTGTGCATCAAGCCCAATTTATACTCCAGCAGCACACACGTCCTGCCACTCACAAAGCTCTCACCTCCGACTCAAAACGCAGAGTACCGCGCCCTGTCTGCGTATGACTCCCGCTCGAACCGCTGCACATCGTAGAGGGAGGCCCGAGCGACCGACGAGACTGGAGACAGCTGACAACGTTCGTAAGCATACGCCTCTCCGACGGTGGTGGCCGCGGTTGCCGTGCGACGCAGGGGGCTTCTATCCCGGGTGTAATAGGTGGAGGACGCGGCTGCCGCAGCAGCAGTTGCAGCTGCAGCGACTGCTGCTGCTGCTCCCGGGGTTGGCAGCAGCGCTCTATCGTAAGGGTCTAGGGTAGTAGTGAGGCGATTGGCCATGGCTGTGGTGGCGGCCATGGCTGTGGTGGCGGCCATGGCTGTGGTTTGTACTTGGGAGTATTGCGCGTACTGCGAATACTGGGCCATTGTTTGCTCTGCATAGGCGTCGTATGCAGATGCCGTAGCATAGGGCCTCACGCGGTATCTTTTGTAGTAGTCGACCATTGCTCCATACCCATCATCGTAATACATGGTCTCCCCATAGCCCGCGGGGTAGGGAGTGCGCACCGCTCCGTACTGCTCATTATAGGTTTCGGTAAAGTCAGGCACTTGCCCCGTGCGATCTACCGGACACTCTTTAGACCAGTGCCCTTCTTTCCCGCACCGATAGCAGCCGCTCTTGTCTCCCATCCCAGGTATCGTCCGAAGCCGACTGGTGGACAACTGCACGCGCATCCGCTTGCCTTTAAGAAACAGACGCAAGAATGGTTGCTATAATAACTGATGCCACATGGAAAACCACAAGATTTGCAGTGTGCAAGAACCAAGTAACTCAACCATCTCATTCCCTGAGCAGCCAATCAAAACCTAGCCTTTCCACAACCTTCCGCATCATTCACAATAGGGACAGGTTTCAAAATAGCAGCAGTGTTAGTCTGTATCCGCAAAAAGAACAGGAGTACTTGTGGCACCTTAGAGATTAACAAATTTATTTGAGCATAAGCTTTCGTGGGCTACAGCCCACTTCATCAGATGCATAGAGTGGAATATATAGTAAGAAGATATATATACATACAGAGAACATGAAAAGGTGGAAGAAACCATACCAACTCTAAGAGGCTAATTAATTACGATGAGCTATTATCAGCAGGAGAAAAAAAACTTTTGTAGTGATAATCAAGATGGCCCATTTCAGACAGTTGACAAGAAGGTGTGAAGTCAACTTCCACCTTTTCATGTTCTCTGTATGTACATATATCTTCTTACTATATGTTCCACTCTATGCATCTGACGAAGTGGGCTGTAGCCCATGAAAGCTTATGCTCAAATAAATTGGTTAGTCTCTAAGGTGCCACAAGTACTCCTGTTCTTTTCACAATAGGGAGGAATCCCAATTGGCCAAGCTAAATGGTTTTACGGTAAGAATCCTGCCATGAATAAAAAGCAACTTCTCCTGAAAAGTAACATTTGAGTGGCATTAAGGCCTGCTTTAGGTCCTGATCCAGATAGCTACTTGATAGATGTGAACCTTTAGCCCTGTGACGCTATTCATGTGCTTAAAGTTAGACATTTCCCTAATTCCTATCTTGATCTGGACCTAAATCGGCTCCAAGACCAGACTGTCAACTGCTTCTTCACACTAGTGAGCAGCTATATGTCTATCTAGGGACCTATATGGCTCCTGTAGGGTCCGAGCGCTTCACAAGCATTAGCATCTTCACACCACCACTGTATAAGATAGGAAAGTGGTGTCATCATTGTATAGGGACTGAGGCACAGGGTACATGCAGCGACTTTCCCAGGACCACACAAGGAGTCTGTGAGTGAGCCAGGAATTGAACCTAAGGCTCCCAAGTCCTAAGCCAGAGGCCTATTAGGCCATCCTTACTACCCTGGGGAAATAACTGGGTCTGCTCTCATGAGTAAGTGCTCCCCAAGGTGACTATCCAATTCATAGCCTGGCTCTAGACAATTCTCTAATCCAGTCTCTGCCTTTTGGGATAGGGAGGTAACTATAGGGGATATCAGGCTCAAGAGTGGATTTCCAGAACCTTCAATTAGCTTTCACACACTCTTGAGATTACCCCCTCCCTCGACCCCATAGAGCTTGCAATGACAAGTGGCCTATTACTGTAACTCATGCTGTAGCTCACTCTCTCTAGGCCTGTATGCTACAGCTTTGGCTGTGCAGAACCTCAGTTCTACGCAATGCACTTTCAGCTAGTCAAGCCAATTGTCGCTTGTACGGAGCTTTTCCATTTGGAGAGGCTGCACTCCTAAACCCTTCCTAGCATCCTCAGGGTCCAACAAGGGGGAACCTGTGCAACAGAGGAAACTGAACCAGATTATTATCTCTGCACTCAACTGGCCTAGTTCAGAAGCCACACCCCACAAGCACGAAACTCGGATGAGTCAGCAGCTGCGTTCTGCACCCAGGAGGTTGGAATTTTCAACACGCTCAGGTCCTAGCTAAAGGAGAAGGCAGATGGGAGTCTAACTCCTCTGGGCTCCTTTGAAAATCCCAGTCAACATGGTTAAACAATTGGGCTCAAAGTCCAACTTCTCCAAGAAGTAATATCAAATAGAGGGTGGGGAAAAAGCCACCTGCTCAGCTCTCCCAAGGTGGATTGGAATAATGGTAGCCAAGGGCAGCACGCAGTGTTGGGATCAGCAAGTTGTATCAGACAAAAGAAAAGCCTCTGAAAGCGAACAAGGATAGGGTAATCATGATAACACTACTTGCGACACAGTCCCAATGGCTTTATGGGAGACTGGATTCAGAGTAAGGGATACACAAGGCAAAGAGCGTGACAGCAATTGGGGAAGGTCAAGAACCGCAGCCTGGTAGGGAGGAATGGATTCTGATCCAGGTGCAGTTGTATGCCACCTGGCCTCCCACCTAGCTTACAGCTCAGATCAGCTGTTTGAAGACAAAGCTACTCTTGCAGGTTAACTGAACTAGGAATTAAAAGCCCTCTCCTCTACTGCTGGAGAACTCATCATAAGAGCTATATGTTCTCTTTTGAATTTTCAGTTTGGCTTTTTGTGGGGCAGTTAAATCTCAGTGTGGATTTTTGTCTGGATGGCCAGTCATATAACACCCAGGAAAAGCAGCATCAGGACACCTTGTGGCCACTTAACCATTGAGGAATGTAAAAAAAAAAAAAAAAGATTTTCAAAAAGAAACATTTGACTAGCTACATTCCAGCAATTTTAAGCAGCTGAACTACCATCATAGTGACAAGGAGGCACTGTGGGTCTAGTGGGCAGACTGCCAATCAGGAGACCTGAGGTCTGTTCCCAGCTCTTTTACTGACTGGCTGGGTGACCCCAGGCAAGCCCCTTCCTCTTTCTGCACCTCCTTTTCCATCTTTTGGCTATTCAGGGGAGACAGTGTGACTTGCAATGTTTGTACAGTGTCTAGCAAAATATGGCCATGACCTGAGTAAGGATCTCTCTGTGCTATTGCAATACAAATAACCGTAGCAATCTTTTTAATTTCTAAAAGTGGAGTGTAGTAGGCTGAGTAGAGCTGGCCATCTAGCAGGGAAAGTGGGTCAGATCATGAAATCATGGCTCATGAAAAGCTATCCATTTGGAGAAGACAATGTGAGAGTGTCCCCAACACATCTCTAGCTCCTCAGAGACTGTTTTGGGGAAAGAGGACATCTATCTTCCTAATACCATACTGCCAAAATTAGCTTCTCAGATTATGTGGATTTTTATTTGACAGAGAAATCAAGTATATTTTAATGTATAGAGCAGAGCCATTGAACAGTACACAGCACAACCCCAATTGGGACCTTGGGAACTATCACAATATGAAGTTACTACTAATGGCATCTGTCCCACAAATCAAGGGGCCTGGGTATTGTTTAACAATATCTCTCTCTCAGTGGAGCTTTCTACCTGTTACTTCACCTCATTTGTAGGTAACAGTATTCCTACTATGCAGAGGGAGAAAGTGGCACAGAAAGGAGAAGGGACTCGCCCAAGGTCACTCAGCTGAGCTGGGAATAGAACCCAGGTGTCCTGGCTCCCAGCACAGTGTCCTAGTACTGGGCCACTTCAACAGCCCGAATGGATCTGCCCAACAACTTGAATGAAAATGGTTCTGGTCGCCTGATAGCCACATCAGTATATACTGGCTGCTAGACTCTGGTGCCTCTAGAGAAGGGATTCTCAATGTGGGGAAAGCCAACAGGTGTCAGAGAATCACAGCCATACTGCCATCCCACATTACTGACTGGAGGGGAGATTCAGATCTGGAAGAGGTTGAGAACTACTCCTCCAGGACACTTGGAAGAAAACACTGTGGTACCAACTGGACACCAACCACCTCTTTCAGGTAACATGCTTGGTGCTAAGCTACAATACACCTCTTACCAACAGACCAAGCCTCCAACATATTAAGCCTGAAAAGGTGGTAAGATTTACTGCTTAAGTTCCTACAAGTGTACTTGCTTGGGGTGGGGGAATCGTGTAAGTGAGGACTTCAGACAAAAACGTCTCTAACCACTGCACCAGCAGAGGCTGAATACAGACATTCCAGGGGACACTTATGAAATTGCAGAGAGATTCAAACCTACCAAACATAGATAAGTGCCCACTCTTTTCCTTTGCTCACGCAAGTGGGTGACGAAGTGGGAATTTTCTGTAACGTTTTCATGAATCCTAGGCATGTCTCAGTTTCCCTCTCTATACTGCCATGCTACCCAGTGCACAAGGATTAACATTGCTCCTGGAACAGTGCAGGAGACAGGAGGTGTGTGTGTGTGACCTTGCTGTCTGGGTAGAACTATAAAAGTCATTAAAGAAACTGACCCAAATCAAGAGGGCCCAGCAAGACAAAGACTCCCCAACAACTGAGGAACCATCACCTAACAGCAGGAAACCCCTGCAGGAGCGACATGTGAACAGAGCTGGAGAACAAGGTGCCAGGGGACTGGAATAAGTGCTACCCTTTTGGAGCTCTAAGCTTTGCCCTGAGGGGAGGGAGAGGAGTGGAGTCCATCACAGCTTGGCTGGCTCATCATGGCATTGGCTCGGCCAGGATGGACTAGAGCTTAACTTCTGCCTCACTTTGCTGACCCAAGAATTTTCAGATTCAGTAGCCAGATGACTACCAGATGATTACCTTGTTTTGAAAAGGCTGCCTGTGTCACTATGAATACTCACAGAAAGCATTGCGCCCTGAAGGGTTACAGTACAAGCCTCCAGTAGGAGTTGCGATTGGCTGGATTCACTGCAAGGAGGCAGAGAGAGAGAGAGGCAGGCAGGTTTGCAGTGCCAAAAGCCTGGTCTCAGTCCTGGAAGCCACAGGCTTGCCCCTGTGGAACTGTGTGGGTCCTTGGGGCCTGGCACATTAAAGGGGTCACTCCCAGGAAACTGGTAACAGGCTCGCATAGATCAGACGCTGTGACTCCATGACAAAAGGCAGTGGACTTTTCTTCTTCACAGAATCATAGAATATGAGGGTTGGAAGGGACCTCAGGAGGTCCAACCCCCTGTTCAAAGCAGGACCAATCCCCAATTTTTGCCCCAGATCCCAAACGGCCCCCTCAAGGATTGAACTCACAACCCTGGGTTTAGCAGGCCAATGCTCAAACCACTGAGTAGTAAGTGGTGTTGAGAATCAGCACTATGGGCAATTCTGCTTTACGTGTTTATTGCTCTTTTGGGGTATTTTTGGGGGGGAGGGGAAGGGGTACAGGTTGTTTATTGCATAGCCTCAGAACGAGCC